CCCTGCCTGCGCTTTTGTCACTCGCACCTTGCGTTGCAGTCACGATCCCTCAATTATTATTACAGTCGCACTCACCTTGGGCGGCACCTGCACCAGTACCACAAAGGGCGGGGGCTCCAGTGCCTGTGCGTGCGTGGCAGCAGCTATATCACCCTGCACTATAGCCACAATCACACTCACTCACCTTTGGCGGCCCCTGCACGAGCACCACAAAGGGTGGGGGCTCCAATGCCTGTGCGCGTGTAGCATTGGCGCTGGGCGCGTGCATGCGCCGCTGCTGCAGCTCCACCCGCCTTGCCACCTGTAGCTTGGCTCTACGGGATGACCTGAAGGCAAACGCCTGGCAGGCAGCATCAGGCAAGGGGGGTGGGGGAAAAGCGCGGAGGACAGGGGTGTGGTGTGGAAATGCGTGTGTAATGAGTCGATTTTTTAGTCGACTCAAAAATCGACTCATTACACAAAGCGCGGAGGAAAGGGGTTTGGTGTGGAAATGGGGGGCTTAACCGCCGCTGCTGCAGCTCCACCTGCCGCGCTACGCTACCTGCAGCTTGGCTCTACTGGACGACCTGAAGGCAAACGCCTGGAGGGAAAATGGGTCAGAATGAGGGTTTCGGGGATAAGGTTTAGGTTAGGGAAGAGGGGCAGAAAGGCGCTCCTGCTTCTGCTGCAGCTCCAACCGCCGCGCTACCTGCAGCTTGGCACGGCGTGACGACCTGAAGGCAGGCAAAGGCCAGGAGGGAGAACAGGACAAATATAAAAAGTTTGGGGATAAGGTTTCAGGCTTGGGGGAAAGGGGGAGAAAGGGGGGGGGGGACGGGAAGACATCTGCTGCAACTCCACCCGCCTTGCTACCTGCAGCTTGGCACGGCGCGACGACCTGAAGGCAAAGGCCCGGAGGGGTGAAGGAAGGGGGCGGGCTTTTGGGTTTCAAGGTTCAAGGGGTTTAGGGTGGGCGCATGCAGCCGCCGCCGCCGCTGCTGCTGCTGCTGCGAATAAACCTGCATCGCTAGCAGTAGCTTTTACGGGAGCCATAACTCAGAGCCTTGGCTCACTGAGGGAGCGGTCATACAGAGGGACGCGCGCAAGGTTCAGGGTTCAACGGTCAACCATGGAACGATTCTGGATCAGTAGTTTCGGGTTTCGGGGTTCCAGGGTTCTGCGGATCTCGGTTTCTAGGGCTCGAATATGGTTTCAGCGTGATTTCTGGCGCTCTAGCAAGGACACGATGCCAGGCATGAGAATCCAGGAAAAAATGTTATAACGGAACCGAGCTATCTCGCCCCTAACACCGCGGGTTTTAGAGGCAAGCGATGCGCGAGGCATTCATGGAACGGGACTGATGACGTGGCACGGAGTCCGCGAGAGATGCACGCGACGCGGTACCACGAAAAGCGGTGACCAGGAAGGAAAAATAAAAGCCAAGCGACTACTTTCATGAGGATAATCGAATAAGACTAATCGTAAGAGTAGTCTTACTCGCGGGTTCTCGCCTTCCTCCTCGTCGTCCGCCGTGCTCACGCCGCGCTTCTTCTTATCTTTCTCCTTCTTGCGCTCCGCTGCTGGCCCTGACCGCGCAGCGCGGTGGCTTTTCTTGTCCGCGTCCTGCAGAGACACGGACGACCCTCCGCCTCCGGCGGCGGCGGCTGCGGCCGCCATCGCCTTTCCCGCGCGCCCTCCCGGGACGACGTCTGATCGCGCCATGGCCTCGCATAGGAAAACAATGAGCCTGACAATAGAAGAGGAAGGTAGAAAACTCTGTAACGGTTAAATAATGCTAGTTTACTAGGTGAGACGTGCCGGTTTAGCTCAGTGGTAGAGCGCGTGGCTTTTAACCACGTGGCCGTGGGTTCGATCCCCACAATCGGCGAATGGCTTTTCCACTACTTTTTTTCGTGCGAACTTTCCCGCTCGCCCAGCAGGAGGAGCTCAGGAACTTGAATCGTCACATTACGTCTAAATCGATTCGGCATCGCAGAGCTTCTCCAAGCCAATCACTGGCAGCATGGAACGAGCCTAGCCGTGTGCTTGACGCCTCCAGCGATCTTGAGATGGCGCAGAGTCACGCCCTCTCATGCCGTCGTCTTTGCCGACGTTTTTTGCCATCATTTTGCCAGACTGGTAGCTTTTTGCCGTCGTTTCGTTCGTATGGTGCCGCTGGGTGTAACGCCTGTCAACCTAGCCTTACGTGCAGTTATAGTTTCTCACTCGTAGCGAGCCGTTAGCGATGTCGAAGCGGAAGCGTCCTGTACTCGTTATAGACCCGGAGGATCTGTCCGACGGTAGATCTGAGTCCGATTCGATACCGGGTGACACGTCAAACACAGCCATTCCTTCGCGCGATGACGACGCAAGCGACACATCATCAGGCGAATCTCTCCCGCAGCCGTTCCAGCGACGGAAGGGCGACGGTTTGCGGGAAGCTGACGGCCGTCATAATGGAGAAATTGGTGCCAGTATGCGCGAAGTGAACGGCCGTCTGAAAGGAGAAAGCGGAGACGGACGGCCGGCGAATGACATTAGGGTCGAGAGGAAGAAGTTTGGCTATGTGACGGAACGGATTGAGGGACAAGGAGGGCCCTTCATGGCGGTTCAGGCAGCAGGAGAAGAATCCACGACGCCACCTGTGGAAATGGACGATCTGGATGCAATCGCAGGTGATTGTAACCCTCCTTCACCCTCCGATCGTAGGTGACGACAACGTTCGTCAATCCGCCAATCTCGAGATCACCTTGTGTTGTCAGCTCACTGGTCCGTTCTGTCTCTCCGATCCTCCTGTTCCCCCACCCTCCCTCGCTTTCCCTCCCTGCAGCGGCTATAAGTCTCGTTTTGAGTCTACTCTCGTTTTGAGTCTACTCTCGTTTTGAGTCTACTCTCGTTTTGAGTCTACTCTCGTTTTGAGTCTACTCTCGTTTTGAGTCTACTCTCGTTTTGAGTCTACTCTCGTTTTGAGTCTACTCTCGTTTTGAGTCTACTCAAAACGATCCTCATGTTCCCCTTCCGTTGTTGTCCCTCCCTGCAGCGGCCATTCCCTGCGACACGCTCGCAGCCGTGCTCTTCCTCCGCTCCTCCTTCCCTGCATCAATCTCCAAGGTACCTTTCACTTGCCAACGCATTGATTAAGTGTCTTTCCCTTGAGCATCTGCCATCAGACCGTAGGTGATTCTTGAGTCGACTCAAAACTCACCTACGCATTCATTAAGTGTCTTTCCCTTGAGCATCTGCCATCAGACCGTAGGTGATTCTTGGGTCGACTCAAAACTCACCTTCGCATTCATTAAGTGTCTTTCCCTCGAGCATCTGCCATCAGACTGACTCCCGTTGGGCCCTCACCCGTGCAGGTTGCCTCGTCACTCCCCTCCCTTCGCCCTGCTCTCCCAAATCTACACCGTGGTACCGCACCGAACCACTGTGGACCGGCAAATCGAGGTCAGAAAACCCGTATGACTTTCGTTCCCCATCTCCACCCCCCCCCCCCCCCCCCCTTTTTTTTTAGTCACCCTCTTTGTGCCCTCCTCGCTATCTCCTTCACCCACTCCCCACTCCCCACTCCCCACTCCCCACTCCCCACTCCCCACTCCCCACCGTTCAAACCCATTCTTCTTCCAGCACGCCCTCTATCGTCCCTCGCCCCCCTCCTCTTCCCTCCCCTTCTCCGCCCTCCTACCCCCATTAACCCCCTTCCAAGGCCCTTGCTGCGGATCGTGCAGAAACATCTATCAGTCCGAGTGATTTGCCTCATGTTATCACATGTCGCCATGTTCTCCCCTTACTCCCCTCATCACCCTCTCTACCCCCCTATGCCGCCCCAAGGCGCGCTGCAGATGCTGCAGAAGAGTGCATCAGTCCGAGTGATCCGCCTCATGTCATCGCGATCCGACTTTGCGGTGCTGCTGTCTGAAGACTATAGTCAAGCGGTGAGAACATGATACATGCACCGGACAGACGTTGCCTTATGGACAATCACATGGGCAGTGGACCAGGATGACATTTATGGACGATCACATGGAAACCTCGTAAAAGGCAATCTGCCTCATGTCATCACGGACAGACTTTGCCATGCTACTGCCTGAAGACTACACCCAGGCGGAGAGAGCATGATACATGCACTTGACAAGCTCTACAGCAGAGAAGAGTACAGTAGAGTATCAGTGCAGGGTGTGTTAGAAACCCGTTAAAAGGCATTCTGCTTCATGTCATCTCGAGCCAACTTTGCGAATCTGCTGCTGTTTGGACACTTCAGTTCAGCCAAGCAGTGAGAACGTGAGTGCTAGGCAGTGTAAGCTGTCTCTACGTTTTGAGGCGCCTCAAAAACTAGACTCCTATTACTAGGCAGTGTAAGATGTCTCTACGTTCCCGACCCATCTTCCCTGGCAGCTGGCTGCAGCAAAGGTGCAGTTTCTTCAGTGCGAGTCTAGCGATGCTGGTTCCCCGCCGCAGCATGGGACTAGGACCAGCACCAAGTGCAGAGCTAGGTGTGAGAGCGTGAGTGCCAGGCAGTGCAAGACGTCTTTGTGTTCAGAACGCATCTTCCCTGGCAGGTGGCGGCAGCAAAGGCGCTGTTTTCCCAGCGCAAGTCTGTGTGACGCTGGTCCTTCGCCACAGAACAGGATTAGGTTTGGGGTGACTTTGGAGTCGTCTCAAAAGTCACCTCGTTACAATGTAACACGACACTGTTGAGTCGACTCAAAGTTCACCCTGCTGCGCATCTTCCCTGGCAGGTAGAGACAGCAAAGGAGCAGTTTCTCCAGCGCAAGCCTAGTGATGCTGGTCCCCTGCTGCAGCACAGGACTGGGACTGGCACAAAGCGCAGTGCCAGGAGTGAGAGCAGCAGGCACAAGTACGGCAAGAGTGAAAGTGGCAGCAGCCAGGTGGCAGTGTTCGATTGGTTCAGGGATCGAGTGCTTCCAGGGTGCTCTGACCATGGCATATCTCGGCAGCAGCTGGTATGTGAACAAGATAAAGGTACACTTATCTAGGATAAATTGCATTAGACATATGTTCTTGCTCACCATGTTTGTCTTTTTTCTCTTTCTTTCTTTCTCCACAGGAGAAAATTTTATCAAATGGTGGCAAGTCTCCCATCACTGACACACACATCTGCATTCTTGTACAAGCAGGCTTGCTGGTACGCACAGTAGAAGACTGCTTCGTCCTCCTGCCTCCTACTCGCCCGCACAGTCTCTCTCTTGCTTACATTTTTCCTTCTGCTTTACCTTCTCCATTTTTCTCCACGCATCTTTTCTTGCCTCGTGCTCCCCCGCTAACAGATAGCACAGGTGGCGCGTTCTGATTTGTTCTGGTTCTCGCTTCCTAACATTGGCTCATTCACCCACCACCTCTCTAAGGTGACCTAGCTCCCACACTCTTTTCCATCCCTAAGAGCGTCATCAGATTGCCCTTGTTTCGTTGTGTCTCATTCCTTTTCACCTCCTCTGCCTTCTTGCAGGGACGGTCTGAGGTCGTCGGTATGTTACAGCGAAGCAGGTTTGGTGAGTTGCTAAGATCGAAACTGGAGGCCCGAAAGAAACGCACAGCTGTGATTCCTATTCCTTTTATTCTTAGGGACCTCGTGGGCCAAGGCCGGGTTACTAAAGTTGATAGCACTGTAGGTGAAGTGTTGAGGCTCTGCAGTTGGAAAAGATACAATCATTGAAAGCTTTTTGGATCTCTCATATGAAATCAAGGATGAAACCATCTTTATCTGCAGTCTTACGAGACGGACAACTCACTGTCCTAGATTTCCACGTAACGAGTTGTCTCCAGCGAATCTCATCAAATGTTTTTGTTCTCCCGCCAGGCCCAGTTTGGCAGCACCGCCCGCACTGAAAAATTTCCATCGTCCGCAGGCGGGAAGGAGCGAATTCACTTGTGGCAGTACTTCTTTCCACTCTTGGGATTGGCTCCCGTGAATTATCACCGAAAATTGTCGCACTCTTGCAAGGTAAAGTCGCAACACCGACCGATGAAAGGCATGTGCGACTTCGCACTCACCAATTCCCTTATCGCTGACAGCGAGGGAGAAAATCTTCGCACACTATTGCCTCTCGCGGTTCGTATCAGCGCGCTCCGATTTCCCAATTTCGGAGACATTTCATTGCAGCAGAGCCAGCAATTCTCAAGTCCTGCTTCTTCCTCTCTACTATTTATTATCCCCTAGTGCCGCAGCAAATCCACAGTTCTTATGTCCTACACATTTCTCGTATTTCGAACGAAGCAGTTCTCGAGGCTCGAACAGGGCACGCCTACTCTAACACGGCATAGCTAGCGTCGCGGATTACCAGCACCGTATCAGCAAAATTGCCTTCCATTTCATTGACTTGATCAACTGACCACGCCGCAATCATGGGAATTCGTAGTGTAGCCGTCTTGGCTGCTCCGCTCCCCCTATTCGCCCTCCTACTAGCAACGCTCGCCTCACAAGCATCAGCGCGAGGCCTTCTACTGCGACCCGACTGGTCAGGAATTTTCCCCGGTTCGCCGAGACACATCGCACACCCTTGCGACGACGAGCCGGAATGGGAGGGCCTGGTGGTTCCGCGAAGGATGTTACAACTCGCGACGACTTTGGCGACGGAAACTCCCGAGCACAAAGCCGCGCGAATGGCTGCGAAGAAGGCGAAGAAAGAGGAGCAGGCGAAACGACATGCCGCTATGCAAGCCGCTAGGGAGAAGAAAAAGGAAGAGCAGGAGGAGCGGAAGGAAGAGAAAGCCGCAGCGAAAGCTGCGCAAGCGGCAGCGAAGAAATCATCGCCACCCAAGTCGCCCAAATCGCCGAGCAAATCAACCGCCAAGTCTCCGTCTCCCCCCAAATCACCGACGAAGCCGTCAACGCCCACTCCTTCCCCAGCAAAACCTGCTACTCCGCCACCTTCGCCGCCCAAAGCCACCACTCCGTCAACGCCGAAGACTCCGTCAACGGGTTCCGTCAACCCTGCTGACGTCTCCGTCATCGCGAATCTCGAGGCTGCGGCTTCGCTAACGGCTGACGCGGCCGACCTGCTGACTTCCACCCACAAGTACTACTCGAGTTTAAAGAGCACTGAGCAGGCGCTTCGGAACGCCGTGATCTTAATCAACCAGGGGCAGCGCGCGCTGGTGACGACACAGATTGACAACTCGGAGTCGACACTTAACGGCGTGTCGGTGATGCTTAACAAAGTGACGTACAAAGACGCGCTGGATCTGATTGCTCAAGCGAAAACCAAGGCTAATGCGGCCAAGACGGATTTCAAGCCGTGAGACCCCATGATTTATGAGCCATGCGACGGGGAGGAGCCCTCGAGAATGTGGTGGACGAATGAAGTGCATGTGGTGTGTGGTTGGGAGCGGTGATGCTAGGTGTAGATGCTATCCACTAATTCTCGTGGATGATAGTAGGTGTAGATTGACCGTTAGGTCATGTGTCTCTGCTGCGTGAGTATGCTTTGGCTTTTCTATTCTGAATGAACTACGTACGAGCCAGCGTCACTATTCATCTCCCCGAATTTACACGCACTGCTGCATAGTGCAGGTGAAAACATGCCAGTACTAAAGAAGCGCACATACAGAGGAAAAGAAACCCAGCCCATCCCAGCCCATGCCAGTCCAGCCCAGCCCATCCTATACCAGCCCAGTCAACAGTGTTACCATACTAACTCTCCCAGCCACCAGCCCTCTCCCTATACTACCCCACTTGCCACCAACACTTCAACCCGTACTGCAACTAACTGCCATGCACCTTGCTGTTCCCCGTGCAGTTCCTACCCTGCTCACACCCTCCAGTTTTGAGGCGCCTCAAAACTACCCTGCTCACACCCTCCAGTTTTGAGGCGCCTCAAAACTACCCTGCTCACACCCTCCCGTGGAAACAATACCCTGGACGTTGCACTGGAACGCTCCCTGTGATCACTCCCCACCCTCCTCTTCTCTCCCGCCTTACTGTCTCGGTGCCCTCATTCTCTCCTCACTGCTCTCCACAGTCGAACGCTCATGGCACGAACAGCTGCATTGCCTGCCCCTCCTTCCCTCCCTCTCACCCCCCCTGAAATACTCTCCTCCCCGCGCGCTCATGGCACGGACAGCTACATGCTTGGCATCAACGTATTTTTGGAGCATGCAAACCCATGGTTGAGCTGTGACAGTGACATCATCACCAGCGACCCCCAGAAGAGGCTGTACACGAGCTTCTCACTTGTGCCTCCCTGCTTCCCCCACCCGCCCCTTCCCTCCCTCCCTACTGTCCTCCATCCATTCTCACGGCACGAACAGCTGCATGTTTGGCGTCAGTGTATCCTTGGAGCATGCAAAGCAACCCCGCGGTTGAGTCCTGCGACCCTTGGAAGTGACCGAACGCAAGCCCCTCACATGTGTCTCCTCCTTCACCCCCCCCTCACCAGCCCCCCCTCACCAGCCCCCCCTCACCCCCTCTTCCCTCCCTCCCCACACTCCTCCATCCACTCCTAGGGAGTGAACAGCTGCATGGTAGGCGTCAGAGTGTCTTGGAGCACACGAACCCGTGGTTGAGCCTATTTTTGAGGGAATGACTCCTCACAAATAGACTCCCCACACTCCTCCATCCACTCCTAGGGAATGAACAGCTGCATGTTAGGCGTCAGAGTGTCTTTGGAGCACACGAACCCGTGGTTGAGCCTATTTTTGAGGGAATGACTCCTCACAAATAGACTCCCCACACTCCTCCATCCACTCCTAGGGAATGAACAGCTGCATGTTAGGCGTCAGAGTGTCTTTGGAGCACACGAACCCGTGGTTGAGCTGCGTCAACATCGCCAGCGAACCTCGGAAGAGGCTGTTCGCGAGCGCCTCACACGTGTCTCCCTCCTTCACCACGTACATGCTCGTCGCTTTCAGCCCGTCGCTCCATCCTCCGTCTCCCCCTAGATCAACATCATCAGCTGTGCTTGTAGCAGCAGCAGCAGCAGAAGCAGTAGCAGCAGGAGCGGCGTCAGCACCCTTCATCTGTGCCCTCCCTTCTTCTCCCTCCTCCCCTTGCCCATCATCCCCTGCGAGTAGGATCTGAGCCTCTTCCACCGTTTCCACATTGACCTTCTTGACTCTCTCTGGCTCAGAAGCAGCAGCAGCCGCCTCTGCAGTTCCTGCAGAAACCGAGTTACCACGGTCCGCTGTCCCAGCACTGGAGCCAGCATCGCGAGTCGTTGCTTGAGGAACAGGCCCAGTCTCCTCTACAGCAGCAGAAACCGCCGTAACACCCTCTTTAGCTGCCCCTGGTTCATCAGTCTCAGCATCACCCGCAGCATCACCCGCAGCATCACCCGCAGCATCACCCGCAGCATCACCCGCAGCATCACCCGCAGCATCATCCGCAGCATCACCAGCAGCATCATCAGCAGCATCATCCGCATCATCATCTGCATCATCGCTCGAAGCATCATCAGGAACACCAGTGCCCCCCTCTGGATCTCCATCTTCTGCGTTTTCCCCGCCTGCCACTGTCTGGGGGGGTCCTACTCGCGATTGCGCCGTAGAGAAGCGCGTAGTGGGACGGTCAGGATTCGAACCCGCGACTTCAGCTTCACCAACTGCTTCTTCGGCTGCCTCCTTCACCAAGCCGGGACCCACCCGAACCTGGACGCGGCTGTGTCGCTGCTGCTGCCTGTACCGAGGCTCGCTCGCAGGTCCGGCGAAGCTCGTTGCCGAAGCTGGCTCGATCTCGTATACCATATCTGTGTCCCGACCTATAGCGCGGAGCCTGGCTGGGTGCGAATCGATATTGGGGTATCTTTCGTCGCCTCCGTGCCACTGCACCGCATCATAAGCCCGAGGACCCCACCTGTGCGCGTTATTGCGACCTCGAGGTCCGTTACTGTGATGCTGCGATGCACCGCTGTAACGAAACTGTGCCCTAGAAGGCCCGCTCTGGTATTCGCTCTGGTATTTTGCTTCTCCCCGGTCTGAGAACACCATCTGCGACGGGTAGGAGGGCCCTGCGACGGACCTGCTGCGATGACGTCGCCCGGCCCCGCTTGTTGTTGTCGCCCAGCTGTCGCCACGGCGATGTCGCCCGCCAGTCGCCCAGCTCGAGGAGCCGATAGCGACGAAGACCGGCTCGCCTTCTGCGTCCGTGTACGACGTCTGACGCTGTCGCATCTGTCGCCTCGTTCGCGCGCGAAACTCTGGGGCCGGCGGGGTCACTCTGGGCAACTTGTTCCTCGCCTGGTTCCACGTCAGCACTCGAATCTTACGTGGCGTGCCGGCAGGACTCCTCTCCACTGCGACGGAATTAGCGGAAATTTCAAAACCACCTGCAGCAGCTGCGTTCCTGATTGGCGTGTCCAGCAGCAGCAGAACGACGCACAGAGACCCTAACATGGCGAATTTTCCCCACCCTAGGAAGCGGGCCAGAGGCTTCATATTAACTAGCTAAAAAGCTACTACGGTATGCGCTCGGATTCGGGCAAGGTCGCTATGAAGACATCGCAGAACATGGAACGCAAGCTGAAGCTTGCTATGAACGTATCGGAGCGGAATATATGCTCTGCAGCGGCGACTATTGACAATTCAACGCAAAAAGGGGAATATCTGGTGGGGGGGGGGGGGGGGGGGGGGGAGGGGGGGGTTGAAGTGCTCCAGGAATAGGCCCAGAAAGAAAGGAAGGGGGGGGCGGGAATGGGGAATCCAGTACTGTATGGGGAAAGGGAATCTCCTCTCTGCTTGCGGGTGCCTGCCAACCAATGCCAAATCCCAGCCCAGCTGTGTGCGTGCTTTGCGCTTGCTTGCTCACCCAAGGATGGAAACGCGGTATGGCGAGCGGAGGGGGTTGTGCGCGCGGATTGCTGGCGGATACTCAAGCCAACGCAGCAAGGCGTAGTGAGCGGAGGTTATGCGGGGAATGACAGTAGAGTGGATTTTGCGGTCACGCCAGTTAGAGTGCGCGTCACTTTGCGCCTGCCCGCCAAGTCAACATGGTCTACACAGCAATTGGACAGGCGAAGGTGTTTCGCGAGGCTATTTCAGGCCGAACGAAATCTTGCGAAATACCTGCCTCGCAAACGTGTCAGACAGGATGTTCGCGAACTCTCATCTTTCCAAGTTTCTGCACCAGTTGAGCCGAGTTTCGCGGTTCACCTTCCCAGCAGCCAACATGAGACTGTGAAGCGGACCAGTGTGGAGATTTATTGACCGGAGAGACTGTCAAACCGCCTGTATGTTACAATACAAGGCATTCACTAAAAGCTACATGATTCAGGTGGGTAAGCCAAGCTAAACAACAATTGCTGTCTACTCAAAACATCTCACATACCTAACTGGATTACATTATTTCTCCCTGATATAAGCGCCTGTAAACTAAGGCTTTTTCATTGGATGCTGTATATCATTATATCCGTTATACTATACTTCCATTGGAGGGAGTGCATTGTGTGCATCCATCATCTATATATTTGAAAGAAATCGACGCATGATGCCAAATTAAAACAAAAACATCTTCCCTAAATTTTGGTAGCTGCTGCCTGAAAAGGGGGGAAATGGCTTGCCCGAATCATCATCTCATATTCCGTTCATTATCTAGTTTGCATTTCTAACATGATTCCGGAACAGTTTGGAAATCAGACTCAACAACCCGTTATCAGCATGAATCCTGGTTTGTTGGGACATCTTGTCAGGCTCAACGACTTGTATCTCTGTCAGTGTCTCAACTCGCCACCATTGGCAGAATTTCCTGTGGGCTTCTCGAGTCAGGAGGAAGACGAACGAAACGCGTTCATCCCTCCACCTGCCATTGGCAGATGCCTCACCTCACCACCATCATCTAGATTCTAGATGCTGTAACTCACCGCCGTCCCGAGGAACTCATTCTTACAAGAACTCGCGGAGCTCGTCATTCCCAGAAATCAGAGCAGCTCGGTTAGATTGTATCGCTCCTTCCCTCCTGATTCACGGATTCAAATCTCCGAGTGATCTGAGCTGAGAGCGTTAGTTGGGCAGCTGCAATCGACCTTGATGTATCCTGAGACCCAATCCGAGAACCAATCCGAGACCCAATCCGATACCCAATTCGATACCCAAACCGATTCCCGTAGCTATTGTGTAGTGGAGGCTATTACTCCCAGAGGCCCCGAAGATTAGTTCATCCGAGCGACAGGAGACGGGAATTTCGATCTTAGAGTGATGCGCAAATATTTCACAAGATGCCTTTTAGAATGGAGCTCACTAACGCGGCTAGTTAGCAGCAGCTGAACTTCCGTCATTCGCAATACTAGTAGGTCACAGCAACAGCAGCAGCAGCAGAAGCAGCAGAAGCAGGAGCAGCAGCAGCAGCAGAAGCAGCAGCGGCGTGTGCCGACCGTCAGACCTTCGTAACTCCATATTCCATGCACTGATTCTTCGCCAATTCCTGGTTACCATGTTACATCGGCGGCGGAGCGTCGCGGTAGTCGGGGCCCGGCATTGGATCCTCGTGGTGTCGTGCATTGCGAGCTTATGTCCATTCGACCTGGCAGCGGCGG